GTGTGTGTGTGTGTGTGTGTCAGTCTCCCTTAGATCCTGTCCCCAGCCACCCTGTTCCCACCTCCCGCAGGTAAATACATTTACTGCTTTCTTGTTTGTCCTCCCAGGTTTCTTTGTTCAAATAAAGCAAACATGAATGTAGATACTCTTCTGTCTTTTGCACAAGAAGTAAATTACTAGATATGCTGCTTTGAACTTTGCTTTTTTACTTAATATATTTTGACGATCTTTCCCTTAGCATGTAAAGAACTCTCTCTTTTTTACAAAACCCTGTTATTTCTCTGGGTATATGTATGCTTTTTAAAAAATTTTTAAACGTTTATTTTGTGGGGGGAGGTAATTAGGCTTATTTATTTATGTTATAATGGAGGTACTAGGGATTGAACCCAGGACCTCATGCATGCTAAGCACACGCTCTACCCCTGGGCTGTCCCCTCCCCTCTGCACTGCTCTTTATTTAACCAGTCCCCTAGGACGGATCCGGCTTGTTTCCAATCTTTTTCTTTTTACACGCTGCCCTGTGGCTACAACCATGTGGCTACATCATTTCGTACATCGTTTAGTACATTGGTATTGTAATGTGCAAGTCAGTCTGTTTCTGATTTTTCAGTCAGCACTGCTTTTAACATCTGTCTGTATCACTATCATACATGATCCGTTGTGTCTAACACAGCGTAGCGTATTGGACTTATCCTTTCTTCCAATGAGGAAAACCTAGATTACCTCCAGTATCTCGGTGCTACAAACAATAACAAAATAAATCCCCCCTTACATGTCTTTTTAAGAAAACAGTGTGAGCACGTGTCTGGAATAATCACATAGGAGGGTGAGTACCGGCTTGCATGACAATGAAATTTTTTTCCAGAATGTCTGCATCAGTCTACATGCCCAGCAGCAGGGCATGAGGGTTTCCTCTGTTTGTACTTCCCTGCCAACACTTAGTATTTACATCCATATTTCATATTTTTGGCCATTGATGGAAGAAAATGATTTTTTGTTTATTTTTCCTGGTGCAGGTTTTGCAGGTCCAGTGGTTCCTCCAGGGTAATATAGCCACCTGCCCTTGCAGGCCGGTACTGTGATTTCTTCTGCAATTTGTTTTTCTCGAAAACTGAATAGCGTTCCAAACTATTTATTTCGATTTGGTTTCAGGGCAAGTAACTACAGCCAGAGATCTCATTTGATCATAAATAAGCCTGAAAACTCTCCTCTCTTATTAGAGCGGCTCAGCCTCTTTCTCTCCAGCTGAGGGTGGTTACTTAATTGCCGGATCAAACAAAAAGCTTGAAGGTAACGCACTGAATGTGATGCTTACCGATGGGGGTGGATTTCAGCGTCTGGTAGAGAGCACTTGAAGAGAAGCTCTTGAAAAAGCCTTGAGGTCACAGTCTCACCTCTCACTATTTAGATGTAGGAGTAATTGGCTTTTTCAAACCTTGAACACTGAACATTCTTGGACTCAGTTTAGACTGCATGCTGCATTCTAAATGCAGGCGGAAGGAGAAAGCCTTCCATTTCTGCGAACCAGCTAGCCCTGACAAGACGTCGCTGACACACACCAACATTCTTTCTTTTTCCAAGCTCGGTAAGCACATGGTCTGCCTTCCAAGGTATTGCAGGTGACAGTGTTAGCAAATATGTCATCACCAGGGTCTAACAAGAGTCTGGGACCTTCCAGCATGTTACACCTTTGCCCACAGCCTGACCTCTTAGTAATTCAAACATATGTCAAGTCTTGAGTATCCTGCTTCTGGGTACCAAAACCTGCATTCGTTAGGATGCGTGTTACAAAGATTGTAACAAAGACCCAAATGTAACAGTGGCTTATAAAGATGGAAGGAAGTTAATTTCCCTTTCACACAACAGCAGGAGCCGTCCTGGGTTGCTATAGCAGCGCCACAATGTTGAGGATCCCTCTTATCTTGTTCATCCATCTTCCCTAACTCCCAGCCTCTATCTCTGGGCCAAGGTGATCCTCCAGCTCCCACCCCCATGCCTTCCTCTCTGCCCATGGGAAAAAGAGACTTCAGGCAGGAGAAGGCAGGCCCATTCCTTCAAAGGTCATGATCCAGCAGTGGTACACACGGTTTCCACTCATATTTGATGGGTGGAAACTTAGTCACACAGCCACGCTGCACTGCCTGGGAGTCTGGGGAATGTAATGTAGCTGGCAGCTACCTGCTCAGCTAAAATCCTCGTTACATACTGTAACAAATGGAAGGTCAGATACCTGGAGACAGCTAGCAGTCTCTGCCACTGTCCATTTTCCTACTGAGTTTTTATATACTCTGCGGGATTTCTTGGTCTATCTGGTGGTTTTCCTGTTTTACTCTTACTGATTTGCACGAATACCTCATCTATTGTAGAACTCAGTCTCTTATGGTTTTAGATTTTGTAGGTATCTTCTCCTGATCTATTTTGTCTATTAACTTTGTCTTCCATTGATGCTTACAAGTGGATTCACCTTTGCTTGATTTCATTTCTCTCTTGTAGGAACTTGCTACAAGAACTAGACCATACATTCTCATTTTTTCCCAATTATTCTGCATAGAACTATGATCTCAGTAGGTATCCTTCAGTTTTTTTAAAGAATATTTCTTTTCTTTTTCTTTTTTAAGAATATTTCATTTCTATTTAACCAAATCCATCATTTTTTTCTTTAGGATTTGTGTATCTAGGGCAATTACATTAGCTAGTTGCCCACACAGGACAACAGTAATTTTCATTACCATTATATATATCTGTCACACACATATATGGAATAATGAAATATATACACATACATAGATTTGTATATGTGTAAAATAAGGATTTAGGTTGAATGTGTTCATTACCAATCATACAAAAATGTATTGTATTTTCTACAACTGATCTCATCTGGTTTTTAATTCTCCACCCCTGCTTGACAAGAAAGAGGGGGAAAAGGCTTAAACTTGTCCACTGACAGTGAATTACAGTTAGTGTTCTGGCATTTAAAAGTCCCTTTGAGCTGTTGGTGTAGTTTCAGTCAAGTCAGGATTTAAGTCTCAGTGGAGACTAGGTTCTCAGCCTCCCCTGCTTCATGTTTGTTTTTTTTTTCCCCTGGGAAGTGATTCAGCTTTTCAGGAGTGTTACATATCATCCCAGCATCTGGGGAGGGGTGGCTGGTCTTCTGCCCAGGCTGACTTCTCTGCCTGGTTCCTAGGTGTCCAGCGCGGTCAGTCCCTCCAGCATCTCGGGGTTCTGGTGGCACCAGCGGCTGAAGTTCGCCATGCGGGTACCCACCGCCATTGTCTGCAAAGCTCCAGCACTCCGTGGCCTCTCTGTCTACATCCTAAATGACTCCTGTTTCACCAGTTCCCTCAGTACCTACCTATCTCCTGACCGGGACACAGGGAACATTCGGATTCTCTGGCTGCTTTGCACAAGCTCTGGGGAGTCTCCATTTGCCTAGACACTAATTTTGGCCATTTCTGATCTAAAGCCCAGAGAGATGTTGCCCTGATGTTGCGGGACACGGGGCCTCATCAGGGAGTTTATGATGCACTGAGAAGCACGGAGGTGGCCTCTCATTTCTCTGGGTGTTTCCATCATCTACCCCGACCCCTGAGATCCACCTCCCTTCCTCCTCAAAGGAGGAGCAAAGACACTGGAACCTGACTTCCTGCCTCTCCAGTTCCATATTCCTCCTAACGCTCAAACCCAGTACTGGATGTCTCTACCCTTCCTTCAGCAGGAACCTTCTGGATGCCATGCCTTTATCTCTTCCACTCTAAAGTTTATTTTTATACACTTGATAGCCCAGGCTTCTAGGTTTGGATCTTTATAAATTCCATTCTGTGCGCCAATTTTCCAGATTTGGATTTATAGAAAGATAAATGCCAGCTTCGTTACTGGAGAAAATTCTTTTCTATTCTTAACACAGCTGGGGTTTTACAACACAAACACACACGTTTGCAGGCTATTGTCCTGATGTCCTTAAAAATATTTTTTAAAGTAAAAGGGGAACCTCAGTGCTTGTTCTGGGTGAATCCTCTCCCTCCTTTGTCTGAGGCAGTGAACCCCAAAGTTGGCCTCATGGCAGAGTCTGGACAGAAAGGCTGTGAATGAAGGTCGGGGGAGATGGAGGATGGGGGTGGGCTACAGGATCTGAGTGGCGGTCTGGTTGATTTTCCTCGGTTATACTAATTTTTTACTTTGTATTTTTCACTGAAGTTATGTGGAAAGTCAGGATTCTGGTTGCTGTCCCACAGGGGATGTGTGCGTGAACCCTTGACGTCCTCACTTGTTCTGAGCTCCCCTGGGTGTGGGAGCTGAGGCTAGGGCACTCGTGGGCCCAGCTCGGCTCCTGGGAGAGCAGGAACCCGAGGTCTAACGACGTCCCGTCAGCGTACAGAAGGCAGGATAACCACTTTGCGCCGCCTTGATGCTCCCTTTGTCGTGTCTGCCTTGTGTTTCAGAGAGACCCATATTCCGGAAATGCCTTTCTGCCCGGCGAGAGCTCCAGTGAGGATGAACAGCCTCTAGCCGAACTGTCCAAGGAGGAACTGTGCACGAAAGTAAAGAGCCTGAAACAAAAACTAACGAACACCCGGAAAGAAAACAGCCGCCTTCGACAATCTTTGGTCATGCTTCAAGGTAAACTTAGAGAAAACCGACTTTTTTTGAAACTGAATTACCTCCCCTCTGCCAAAATAAAATAATTAAGTAATACAATAATAAGTAAATAAAATATTAAAAAAATCATTAAATTTAAAAAATTGTACAAGACAGGGAGGGTATGGCTCAGTGGTAGAGCATGTGCTTAGCATGCACGAGGTCCAGGGTTCAAGCCCCAGTGCCCCTCCAAAAATAAATAAGCTTAATTACCTACCCCCTGCCAAAATAAAATAATTAAATACAATAATAAATAAACAATACATTAAAAAATCATTAGAGAAAATCGACATTTTTGGATGAAAGGAAAAATACATGATGAATGGAAAGTATTGCAAATCAGCCGTCAAGAATTTAAAACTCAGGGTCTTAGATCCCATTTGCTTATATTTGCTTTTATTTTTACTGTACAGCACAGGGAACTATATTCAATATCTTGTAGCAATTTATGGTTAAAAAGAATATGAAAATTAAGATATGTATGTTCCTATATGACTGAAGCATTTTACTGTACACCAGAAATTGACACAATATTGTAAACTGACTATACTTCAATAAAAATTTATTTTAAAAAATCAGTACCTTAGAGAAAGAAAATCAAAAACCACATTTTAAGAAAAGCTGTGATTACATAATTTAATACGGAAGCACTCTATTGAAGCCTCTAGTTTATTGCCTAAAAAATTTTAGGTTATTCCTACAAAATACCAAATGTCATATTCACTTAATAATGTCCAACAAATATTTATTGAGCATTTAATAAAGGCCTGGAGAGAAAAGATCTGTAAGACAGACTATGTCAAGATGTTCACGATGTACTTATCTCGCTCCCCTCTGCTAAGGGAAGCACTAGACAACGGGGCCTGCTGTCATCCCTCATAGAACCACTGGCATTGAAGATTTTATAGATGACATTCTAGGTTTGGGGGTGGGAGGAGTGGTCTGGAAAATAGTCACATTGCACTGAAGACTTATCAAGGAGCAAGAGAGGCCTAAGCAAATTCAAAACCACTTGGCATACTGCCCTTTTTGTTGAATCTTATACTGTGTTTAAGTGTTTACTTTTTGAAAATGACGTTTTCCATTTGTAGTTAAGCATCACGCACTGTTCTGTATAGCTGAATACACGGCAGTTATATCCTCTGTTGGGTAGCATTCTGTGACTAAACAGCAAACGTACAGAGGATTTTGAAAATACATCCCTCTGGCAACTGTGTAAGGAAGTACACAGCGCCTGCCTGCGGGAAGGACCACTTTTGAAAGGTATCACGGTCATCAGACAACCTGGGTAGCAGCCCAGCCCAGAGCGAGGGCTATGGAAATAAAGAAGACTGTTCCACAAACAGTCTGGGAGGGAGAAATGAGAGGAGACAGGACATTGCGGTGGGCTAGGTTGACAGTAAAGGCCCGTAAGCTTGTCTACGAGTATGTATTAAATCAAAGGCATCACAGGCAGAGGAACAGCTCAAAGGCAGAGCGCATGCTCAGCATGCACAAGGGCCTGGGTTCAATCCCCAGTGCCTCTAATTAACCTAATTACCCGCCCCCACAAAATGAAGGCTTCATAGTTTTAAGTAGAAACAGCCACATGTGAATGGAAATAAGATGTTTATTCCATCAACAAGTCATCCTCTCTTTATTTTTTGAACTTTAAATATTGCCTTTTTATAACTGATGGTTTTTCCTGCCGAGGTTTTTGCAACTTTCAAAGAACAGATCATTCTTATTTTTACATAATCTGTTTCAGAACTCACAGTAAGATGAAGAGCTAGCTGATAAAGTTAGCAGAAATTGCTGGTTAAAGTCTGGATCTTGGAGTCACACACCTTGGGTTGAATCCCAACTCTGCTGACCTGCTTTACAACTGTGCCCTCAGCCTCAACTTCACTTTCCCTGTCTACAAAATGGGTGCAATTTTTCATGTCCTTCTTGCCAAGATGATTAAAGTAGCTAATTGGAAGATATGCTTTACCAGGACCTGGTCAATGACAGGTGGTCAGCAATCATAGTTAATGTTATGGTCTCTGTTTTTATTGGCACCAGAACTTGACCCACAGACCCCAAAAGAGAAAATTAGACCAATTTTTCTCATAAATGTAGAAGAGAAAATTCCAAATGAGAGTGTAGAAAATCAGTTTCAATAGTCTGTGAACTGACACAGCATTGTAAACTGACTATACTTCAACAATAAAAAAAAGAAAAACTGAGGCTGTGGAAAGAATCACTACTACGGCCGGTTTCTCTCTCCCCACACACCGGAATTTCCTTTTCTCCTGTCTCCGCCAGCCTCCCACGCCTCCTTCCAGAGCCTGACTCCCAGCCGATGGCTTGGCCTCACTGAGCAGTTGGAGGATGCGGAGAGACTGTCAGCTCTCCGCAGCCGTGCTTGTATTAATCTCCACTTTCTCCCCTGTCCTCTTGTCCAGACAGAGGCAGTACCTCCATCTGTGCATCAGGTCCCCACCCTCTTTGGCCAAACAGGAGACAGAGCTCTGGGGATTCTCCCCCTTCTCTGCAAGATCACGGTTGCCTTCTCTAATGAGTCATTCCCAGTAGCATCAGGCATAACATTGTTTCTCCCATTAAAAACAACAACAACAAAAAACAAAGAAACATTGCAGGGAGGGTATGGCTGGCATACATGAGGTCTGGGTTCAATCCCCGGTACCTCCATTAATAAATAAATAAATAAACATAACTATTTCCCCCCACCCCCAAAAACCCCCAACCCTCTTTCAGGTCATTGCTTCTCTGCCTGCTACCCTATTTCTCTCCTTCCCTTTATAGGAAAACTCCTTCAGTGTTGCCTCTACACATTCAATTTTCCCTCTTTTATTGTCTCTGGATCCTACTTCCATTGGTCCTAATCATTCTGCTATGACTTCTCCAACTGCAACAACAGAAATGTCTGGTCTCCGGTTCTGGAAGCTAGAATCCCAAAACCAAGGTGTCAGCAGGGCCAGGTGTCCTCTGAAGGCACTGGGGAAGGTCCCCACCTTAGCTTCTGGCTCTTCCCGTCTTCACAAGATGGTCTCTCTATGTGCTTGTCTATATCTGTGTCCAAACTACACCCCGTTTTTAATTTAAATTTTTACTTAAATTTTTAAACTTAAATTAATTTTATTTAAATTTTATTTAAAATTTTTTATTGAAGTGTAGTTGCTTTACAATGTTAGTCTCAGGTGTACAGCAAAGCAATTTGGTTACAC